TTAGCGGTTTTGAAACCGTGAAATTTTCAAATCGCGGTATACCTTGAAACCGGTAATCGGCCCATGCCTATCTACAACAATAAGAGTCTAACCTTGTCATTCCTCTCACAGAGGAACTTAAGCCTCTGAGCTCTCTTGTGCATGAAAACACCATCCAGGTGGCCCGTTTCAACAGAGCGGATCTCAATGGCTTTCTCTCCCCAGCCCATGATCTGGTTGGAGTGGATATAAGCTGTGAAACAGAACATCTTCTTGAGTTCTCATGCATAAACAATCTTTATACCAAAAACAAAGTACAGTACCATAGTTCTCTCAGAAAATGTGGAGTCAGAAGCGCCAGACTGTCCTTGCTGAGCTCGCTTGTGCATGAAAACACCGTCCAGGTGGCCCGTTTCAACAGAGCGGATCTCAATGGCTTTCTCTCCCCAGCCCATGATCTGGTTGGAGTGGATATAAGCTGTGAAACAGAACATCTTCTTGAGTTCTCATGCATAAACAATCTTTATACCAAAAACAAAGTACAGTACCATAGTTCTCTCAGAAAATGTGAACAACTTTCATTTTACTTTTGAAAATTATTTAGTATACTCCACTTCTTAAAAAAAAAAAAAACCCTGTTGGCCAGGGTAATATCTGTGATATTTCGTTCATTTCTTGGTTCTTGGGGACAAAAGGATTAAAGAGATGAAAAATAATAAATGAAAAATTAAAAACACAAGTAGTTATTTATGCAGAATGTCAAAGCCTCTGTTTTCCATATAATGACAGTGGTATATTAACAGAAATAATGACTTAAACCTCATTATTTCAAAATGTTCCTTGTACTGCTTCGGAAGAATTGCGATACAGCAAACAAGCCTTATGGATGACTTCTATGATGTTTTTTAATGTGTTTTTTTTTGTTTTGTTTTTTGTCTTGAGAGCTCCTGGTTCCTCTATCCACTTTAATTTTATTAAACAAAACAACTTGAACATTCTGTTAAACATTATCACACAGCTCTATATATATAAAGTTGAATACATATGTATATCCAACTTTATTTGCATACATACAGTATACTCACGTGAAGTGATATATACTATATAGCAAATCTCAACTTCTTGATTTACATCTATACAAAATGTAAACTACATTATCACCCAGCTCTAATCTGCTAAATGTGTCTATAAGCAATGAAGACATCAAAACATTATAAACATTAATATCATCATTTTCTGTAAAGCTGCTTTGAAACAAATGAATATGGTAAAAAAATAAACACTTATGAAAATACTAATAAAATTGACTAAACATTTCCTTTGGTGTCGCAAAGAAGAAAGCAAGTTTGGAACAACACCAGGGGTGAGTAAATTATGAAACTATCCCTATAAAACACACACTTTTGTCTGATCTCTTTTGTTGTATTTAAATGTATTGCAATATTAGCTTCATCAGATATCACATGGCAGATACAAATTAAACATTCAATAGCATAATAACAAGCACAATATAATAAAAACAAACCTTTTATAAAATTTGACAAGAATGAGCACGATTCTAGAAAAGATTCTTTAAATGTACTTGTGATAAAAATTGTAAATGTTTTTCTGGGTCCATAAATAAGTTCATAAAAGCTTGTCTTGGTAAAAAATTGCTGTCTCATAACATTTAAAATAACACTTAAAATTGGGCAGACCAAAAAGATTTTACGGCATCTTCACCCTTCAATAACTGCCCATGAGTCAAGTCTAGTATGGTCTATTTATTTGCTTATACAGCTTGGTTGTGTCTTGATTTAAAAGGGTAGATGCATCTTTTTTTCTGATCTCTGAATGCCTTCCATGATGTCTTTTCATAAGCCAGGCTGAAGATTAGTAAGCACTGCATAAAAATCGCCCCAAAGTGAATAATTCTGTACGCAAGCACTACTAATAATCATAACAGCCTGCCAAATGTAGCTCTGCCTAAACACTCCCTCATTGAGATTATTATATATGATATATATATATTATTATATATATATATAAAGCATGCCAAAAGCCCTAAATCCTCCAGCTAACGTGTTACTCAAACCAG